CTGGCGCGGATGTGAACCGGCCCACCCGGTTCACCGAAACCCCTCTCCTCCTCGCTGCGTCAGTGAACTCAACGCCGTTGGTCCGCCTCCTCTTGCGGAACCGTGCAGACATCACTCAACGGGATCCACGGCAGCGTGGACCCGTTGAACGAGCCTTCGAACACGAGGCGCTTCGCGCAGCCACGTGTCTCGTACGCGCAAAGGCACAGGTGCAGCCATATGCAGACGACGAGTGCCTGCTGCACCAGGCCGCAAGCAGAGGCAGCGTCGCATGGGTCAAGCTGCTGACGGCGGCCGGCGCCGATCCTCAGGTCAGGGACCAGCACGGACGGCTCGCCATGGACGTACGTCAAAGACTGTCGACCTTCCAGCAGCGGCAACAGCTAAGGCGCAGCCTTTGGCCGACTATGCCCGAGCTCAGTCACGGCGATCCACCTCGAATAGAGCACGAGGGTCGCGCCCGCGAGTAGAAACCCTGTCAGCATGTACAGAACGGCCGCGAGTACAGGGCTTAGAGACCAGGACGACGAGTCCGGTGCAAAACAGTACAGGCAGCTCGGGCAACGGTTTCGCATTCTTACACCCCATCGACATGCAGGTGCAGACGACATCCCGGTCATGCTCGGCTGCGAGCAGAACAAACGCCGAACCGTTGCCCGAGCGGACAGAGAGTGACAAGTCATCTGTGCCGAGAAACAACCGCGACTCGCGGAAAAGCAACGTCCTCACTAGCTCGATTCTGCAAAGGAGAGCCCGGATGAATAGGTTAGGGAATCTACCCTCCATGTTGCTGCACAGGCAAAGCTGATTTCCTCGACGACACAAAGCTCGGGCCCAAGGATCAATGCGCTTGGCAGCAAATCCCGAGATCAGCCTTGACATACGCATCGGGTTGCGAATCGGGGAACCGCAGCAACGAACCCAGGTGTACAGGCCGCCAGGCCGGAACGACAGCTTCCCCACCCGACACAAGCGGAACAACCCTCCCAGGTTTTCAAGCTGCATTCCATGCCGGCCGAGGCGGCCAAGGAGCGACGAGGCCATCATGCATAGATTCTTGAAACATTCACAGATCTCCAGAGAGTGACAACGAGATCAGGCAAGTGCACGTCTTTGCAGCCGTCTGCACGGAAATACTCGCCGCCCCCACGGCTCAAGTGAAGCTCCCATCCTAGTGTCGCGCACGAGTCAGATATTTCGACCCACCCAACACGCCTCGAGCATGTTCATGTGCCAGCCTGGCAGTGCAAACAAGTCTATCTACCTAGTGGCCGCACACGTCCACGTGTAAATCCGTCGGCAACGCGTCCGAGATGACCTCATCGGCAAAGCGCCGGAAGCTGGTTGACTTTACAGAAGAGAGACCGAAATCGGAGACGCCACGGCCAGTGACCCTGACGGCACTCGGACTTCATGACGTACTACCACGGAAGCTCGTATACCGAGACAGCCCGCCTCGCTTTCCAAGTCGCCCGGCAGAGCTGCCCATCGATCCTCCGGAGAACATCTTAGCAGACGGTCTGCAGAATGTCAACAGTCACCCACGGGACGAGCACCTCACCTTCACAGCGAGTGATCATGCTTACTTCTGGAGAGGGAAGCGGGTGGCAAGATCCGCGACGCAACTGGTGCACGAGTTCACGAACGAGTTCTCCGAGAACCAAGTGATCAGCTCCATGCAGAGAAGCACCAACTGGCCACGCCCAGGCTACCTCAAATCGGCTCTCTCCGAGCGCCAGAAAGCTGGGCTGGCGCAGCTGAAAGGCACGGGGCAGCTCCTACGAGCATTCCAGCAGGAGGAGCAAGACGAACTTCAGATCTGCAGGCTCGCCCACCGGCTGCGAGCAACCGCGCCGGAGGACGATGCAGTCGCTGAGCTCGTGGCAGGGTTGGGGCTTTCGGAAAGCGAAATTCGAGAGAAGTGGGCTCAAGCTCGAGAGGACGGCGTGAAAGAGGGCACATGGATGCACGCACAATTCGAGCACCTACTAAACGGCGGATCCCTCCCGAGCCGGACGGAAGAAGTAGCCCTGCTGGCACAATTCCTACGCTCTCAGCCGGGTATGACCGCATATCGCACAGAATGGCGAATATACGCGGAGGAGGAGGACGTCGCTGGCAGTATCGACTATGTGGCCGAACGACCAGACGGCAGCAAAGTGATAGTGGACTGGAAACGCACAAAAAGAACACGACTGAACAACGAGGCCTTCGGCAAGTTCATGCGGAGACCACTGTGCAGCGTACCCGACTGCACCCTCTGGCATTACCGCCTCCAGCTGAACGCATACAGGTTCATTCTCGAGAAGTACTACGGGCAAATCGTCTCATCCATGTACATAGTGGGCACCAATCCCGACAACGGCGACCATCCATACGTCGACGAAGTGCCGCGAATGCAGACAGAGACCCAAGCTCTTTTCCAGCATAGCGCAAGGCATCGGCACGAAATCGCAGCAAAAGTCAGGCGTGTAGAATCGCACGTAAGCACGTATCGTCAGTGTCGTCTGGTACAGGCGAACTTGGAGCACCGGGCCAGTCCGCCTCTTACTTCGTGACAGAAGAAATGTTTATGGATTTGTGTTAGTTACTTTAGGAGTTCGAGAAGCCCATTGCAACAAAGAGTCTCTAGCGCGGCCCTCGACCACTACAACGTGTCTACAATCTCCGTCGCACATCCTTCCTACACCGCTACGAGCACGACCTCGAAACCCAGGCTGCCCAAACATACCCAACGGCTGAACACATCACGAGCACAAGGATGAGTAGCAAACCCAACTTGTCGAGGCTTGCGAGGGAAATAACAGGAGCAAATGCTTCAGAAAACCCCCACCAAACACAATACAAGTTCTCGGCATGTCGAACGCTCTGAGATAGGATAGTTACCACATGCGGTGCAATGGCATCTGTTCCGTTCTGAGGACCCTGTCAGATTGGCGACATACAGGTTCAAGCGATGCATACTACGTGCTCCTCATTATCGAGTCCTGGCTAGGCAGCCTAGAAAGAAACCTACGCGAAAGAGGGTACAAGCCGGTACAGCCCGACAGCGTGCCTACCGTCACCAGCCGCAGCGGTAGAGTTCCCCTCGCGGTTATCGAGTCACACACACCCAAGAGTAAGCCCCACCGACACAGGCAGTGGGCAACTGTTTCCACGCTCCCCATATACCACCGTAATGCGGCGAGAGCAAGGTTTGCAAGCACAGAATGCGAGGGAAGAATCCCCCGCTGTAAAGACTCCTGCTGCAAAAGGTCCAGCCCCAACCCAGCCCCGCCCGACTTAGGTGTCCTTCACCATCGCGCACATCTCCCGTGCACAAACGGGTGCGCTACACGAAACCATCGAGTCACAAGCATCACAGCATCACAACCCTCTGGATACCCAACAAAAGCATCAGGAACGCTTGAGCCACGTCTTTAGCCGTCTGCATCAAGGGCATCAGAAACACTTGCGCCACATGCAACTGTTGAGCACTGACATACAGCATCATGGGCATCAGAGCGGAGACCTTGAGCCGTATGGATTTAGGGTCTTTAGGGTCTCGTTAGACATGGAATCGTCAGTATTTCACGATCGCTCCTAATGCGCATACACATAGCCGATATGTAGTACATGTGTCCCGAAACCACTACACATTCCCTCGACTGTCCTGCACCACTTCACATCATCTCCAAACACCTCGCATCGCTTCTAGGATGTAAACACGACCCGCATCAATCACAGGACGCTGCAGCTCCAGGCGCTCACGATGGAGGCGAAGCGCAAACTCCAGAGGTCGTTCCAGGGAACCTGTGCGCGGAGGCGAAAGGCCCGGGGCTTCCGGGAGAACGTAAGGTTCGCCTACCCTACTTCTAGGTCTCCTACCCAGCAGACACCGACGCTCCTGTGCAGAGCAGACGCAAGGGCAGTCTAGAGTATACCGAAAAGGATAGAAACTACGGCTAAGCCCACGCATTCCCTTGGAGTCACTCTGGAGCCCCGGGCAACGGCCGCTTGCCTTCACCGTTTTGTTTTTGGCAGCAAAACCATGGTGAAGGCAACGACCGGTTGCCGTCACCCAGCTTCAAGGCTTCCCACACATCAGGCTTCCCACCAGCCCAGCCCCAGCCCAGCCCCAGCCCAGCCCCAGC